GAGAACACCTTTGTATATTTTTAATGCTGGCTGGGTTATATCCTATCTTCTTTTGTCTCTCATTCTTTTGCATATTTTGGAGTTTGACAGCTGAACTCCGCCATTTAATTTGCAACCAAAGTCAGACGCGTGATTTTGAAGGTGTTTTTATTTAATGAATTTTGATTAATTGATAAATATTAAAGTCGTCGTAAAGCAAGTTATAACTATCGAGTGAAGTGTAAAGTGAAGGGGAATACAAAAATGTATTGGTGAAGAGGTTGCTTTAAGGAGAATAGGAGTGATAAATGTACGCTAATTTCCGAATTTTACAAAAAATTACATATTTCAAACCCAATTTGTAAATAAGTCAGTGACCAAAATTTACAAAAGTGAGTGTTAAAATAATGCGTAGACCCTTGACTATAAGTGTGTGGATTTTTGGATCGGGCCACCCCTTTGGATGGAATAGCCCGAAATAGTTGTGAGCGCTACTAAACCCCACCCAAGACTTTTATTTCGAACTTAAAAAATATCTGGCCAAGTTTAACTGTTGGAAAAAAATAACTGCTATTTACGGTCCCTGAAATTGTCCCAAAACCATTTTTTATTTTACTCACAATTCTTTACTTTTCCGGCGGAAAAATTGTGAATAGGCTGTTTCCGGTAGTTGGCAACGCCATAAAATGTCAAATTGACATTTTGGTGGACACCTCCCGAACAGCTGTTTTCTGTTATGTATTTTTCATTCTAGCTAATTCTTCAATTAATTTCGAGCCCATTTTACAGCGAAGGCGCCACAATTGGAGAAACTTAATAAATATGGTGAGTTAAACTTTAAATAAATATGAAATACCACAAGTTTTATGCTTTTTGTACTTTAATGTAATTGCAATGCAGAAAACGTACAACAGTTTTCTAGTTTACATGCGTTTGTGTGTGGCGATTATCGTGCATATATGTATGTACAATAAACAAATGTATCCAGCCCATTAAGAAATTATAATTATGCACGGCGTAGTGGTTCAACAGCACTTAGGGTTTACATCAAATCCAAGTTTTGGGCGTCAACTCCAAGATGGGCGCGTTTGCCGCCCCAAGAATGGAATCGCTGCTTCTTGCCCAGCACCACAGAGTTGCGTTTCTCGTCATGTTGTTGTTGTGATTTGATGCGACAACGCTCAATGACGGCTTCCTTTATTATATTTACGAAATCCACATCGTTAAATTGTGCCATCAACAGCTTGAAAAATGCCCAAATTTCACTCCGCTGTTCGGCGGCGGTAGCGCTGCTAATTTGGAGGGCGCGTGGAATAGGCGCATTAGCTGATTCTTGTTGTTCCTGCATATAAAAGGCTTCAAGTGGGTTAAGCGGATGAGTGTCATAGGCATCGCAAACATCTTCAAAGCTTAGGATGGCTTGAAGTAAAAAGTGGCGGTATTTGGATAGTTGGTCTTCACAAGTGACAAGCTCATCGCCGATAGGTTGTGCGAAAATGTAAGCTTTTTGGCAAATAGTAAAGATTGAAATAATGGAAGCTAAGGAATGGAGGACGTACATGTTGAGTTTCCAATCAAACTTGAGAAATAACCTGTAACGAAAAGTAGTTGGATAATAATTATGGTAATTTCTTGGGGAAAATTGATTTTTGAATAACATTGAACTAAGTTCTAACTAGTAGATATATTAAATGCATAACCGATACACAAATTAAAAACTGTTGTAAAAGATAATTTTAAACGCTTAATTGAACTTATTCGAAAATTTTTTCCCTTTTTAACCGACTTCAAATAAAGGTTTACTTTAGGGATGGGTACCTTCCAAAAAAATCAGTTTTTTGATTAGTCACGGTTTTTTATTCAGGGTGTTTAAAAACCTGATATTTTCGGTTTGCTGAAAAAAATCCGAATTACAAAAAACACTGCAAAAAACATCGATATCAAATTAAATTAAATTTTCACCTACACTTATTACTTACTGCTGTGCAACGCAAATTAGTTAAAACAATAATTTTTCTTAATTTTATATAACAACTTCATTTCCAAATATACGAAATATAATGAAGCGTTGGGCATACAAAAAAAAAAAAAATTCATTTCACAAAAAACTTTTTATTTATAAATAAATACAAAACTCGAGAAAAACGGCTTTAAAGTTTTGAATTTACATATCGTCGTTTAAAGTACAAAACCGCGTATCGTCATTCTGCAAAACCGCGTAACTGACATTGGCTGCCAAAAATTGGATTTGCTCACACAAGCTCTTGGCTCAATCCTTATCCATTCGTCCTGAAATATAAATACTAGCCAGAAATACGATTGCTTTATAAAAAAGAGAACCATTTTGAAATATGAGTGTTTTTACGCTGTAGAAAATAATTTCTACAACTTCACATACACGGTTTCGCATATAGCTATGAAATTTTTACACAACATAGAAGAAAAGGGAAACTCAACTCCAAATTTGTATTTTTTGGATTATGACACTATTGGAGTAAATGAGCGATATGTATATAATTACATATGTATATACTTATGTAAATGGTAATATATTATTAACATCAAAATTTTGTTGTACAGTGATTTTTTTTTTTAATATTTCCAATGTTTTTCATGGTAAATATTTTTTGTTAATTTTTTATTAAAATATGGGTTATGTTTTAACAAACGACATATAGATCCAAGTTTCAAACTTTTTCAAGATTCACAATCGACTTCACAATTGATTATGCTTAGCTACTGGATCAGCAAACAAAAAATTGAGTAGTTGAAGTTTGAAGTTGAAGTTTATTCTTATCTCGACGAATTGCAAAATAATTATCCATTGCTGGGGAATGTTAAAATCAAATTTCCGGGTTTCGGTTTAAAAGCAAAAAAAAACGATCAAAACCTAAATTTAAAAAAGCCTGAAAATGATCATTAACTAAATAAAAAAAAAAACTGTTTTTGGAAACACCGATCTTATTTGAACATCCTTAGTTTACTAAAGAAAACGTGAACCGTGCTAATTCTTTTTAACCGGAATATTTTTCCTCTATCGGAAAGATGGTATCTCAAGAGTGGTCCCATACTAATTGGGTTCCCTTCATTGGATCATGAAAAAATTAATGGTACTCATAAATGTTTGCATAAGGATTGAAGTCGGAGGTATTTTTTCTCTAAAAATTACTTTGTTTATAAAATAAGTTCTCTTTTACTAGTTTGAAAATATTTTAAAGTCGGTTCATACTACTATTATCGATATGACCAGTCATAAAATATCCCAGTAGATAATTTCAGGACTTAAAAGCCCTTCTGAAAGGCCTTCCTGAGAGTTAAGAGGCCTTCCACTCTACATTCCTTTCTCCTTTCTTTTTTATAGGGAGTGGCACAAATTGAAGGGCTTCTTCTTTCGCTACCCATGGAAGGCCTTCCAGAAGGGCTTTTATAGGACGTACTTCACAAGGCCTTTTAAAGGAGTTCTTTTAAAGTTTCTTCTTTAATTTATAAAAATCATACATCTTTGAAGTATTTGCTTAAGGTTTATATCAAATATGTGTTATTGTCACTTAAAATGTTTATTAAAATTCGTTTGTAATGCCAAATAATACAAATTTATGCATTCGTGTAAATTGTAATTGGATAAGCCCTTCTAGAAGGCATGCAAGGAAGCACTTTTTTCAGTCCTTCTTAGGTAAGCCTCAGAGAATGGCTTTACTTAAGAAGTCCTACCTAAATTATCTTCTGGGATGTTATTAAAATTCACTTTAAATTCCAAATTTCAACACAACCGAAGCACTAAGAAATTTTCCTTAGGCTTAACCCTCTTTTATATAGTTAGTACCGATCTTACTTTAAATATTAAATGAAGTTATTTCGCGTTTTGCTCAGCACAAACTGTGAAGATTCAAAAACTTGCCTGCTTATTTATAGCAAAATTTTTAAACAGGATCTAAAGGATACAAGCTTACTTAGAAACGCACAAACGTATTCACATGCGTAAGTGTATACATATTTACATTCGCAAGAAAGTCATACGCTTAATAAAAATAATTACAGCTAACAAAACGACTACGATTAGCACTGTGTAAAAAGTTGAGGAGGTGGAGTGCTGTTTCCAAACCGTTACACTTTATGCATTTCAAATGATATACAAATAATTGTAGTGTGCTTTTTAGCTTTAACGCTTCAGCGAGTTAAAGGGGTGTTGGCAGCATGCCTCTACTATCAGTTACCAGCTGCAAAGGTATCGCGTATAGGGGAGGGAATAGGAATTCTCATGTCTGCTGCGGATATCTGCACCTCTCTTCCTCTTCAAATTGTCATACGCAACAAGTGTCATAAATTTTGCTTTTGTGCTGACAGTCAAGTATAGGGAAATTTTATTAATTGCTTCTGTACGAGTTTGCCTGCTGCACTTCCACTGTATAAACGAAGATTCCAATGTATGTACATTGTGAGTTGTCTGACTTGTATGCACGTGAGGCGTGTGTAAACAAAATTGTTAATTTTTCCCTCTTAATTAAAATACTTAGGCGTAAAAAAAATGAAATAAAACTAAGAAATAAAGTTGGTATTTAAGGCTTCAGCAAAAATTAATATAGACGAAATAGAAAGCCAAAATCATTCGTTTAAAGCAAATGTTAGTCGATTTTATGGTAGCTTTCGCTTATTAATGACCCTATCATAATTCTCGTTAAATTTTTGATCAACAATTTAATTGTCGCCCTTGTAACTGTTCCGTGTGATCGATTTCTTCCAGCTATTTAATTTTATTTCAGAAATTTAAACTGGAAAATCTAATAAATTTCATTGTCCTTACAGAAATTCCGCTTTTGTGGCGACGGCGACTGCCCCGACTGGGTATTAGCGGAAATTATATCCACGCTTTCGTTGCTAAGCGCTAAGAACTTAGAAGCCCTGGCTGAGCTGGTTGCCAGGAGAATTGTTGGTCAGCAGTTCGAGGTATGTATACATACATTCAAAACAATTATATCTTAAAGCTTCCACTCTCATTCAACTATGTATTTTTGTACACAAAGGAGGGCGTCATTAAATCGTTAACGGCCGACATATCCACCGACGGCAAATCAGCAGTCGCTTGCATACATTTCTTGCTTATCAATGCGTCGCGTCATGCTGTTAGTGAGTCAGTGTTCAGCGAAGAGATTCAACAGCTGGGTTTGCCAAAGGAACACGCCGCATCTATGTGTCGCGTGTTGGCCGCCAATGTAACAGCTATACGTCAGCGGCTGAGAGATAAAGCATTTAGAAGTGAATATTGCACTTTTCATAAATAAATGATTTCCTCTTTAGTTCCTCTGCTAATCTTTTCTCTTATCCCATTTTCAGTAAACGAACTGTCCTCCATACGCTACATCCAACCCTCGGCAGATAAGCAAGATAACACCGTTGGTTGTGCTAAATTCGAATTGAAAATCTCACAGGAGCTAATCGATGGTTTGCCACAGGATACTACACATGTGCTTAATATTGAGCGTCCTAATGTGCAGTCGCTGTTGGAGGAATTGAAAGAGGTGCGCTCTACATTACAGCAATATAGTTGGCGGCAGAAAGACAAGATGGATGTGTAGAGCTGAAGAAAATATATTACGGACATTTATTCACAAGGTATTAAATTAAAAGTGCTTAACCCATTGCACGTAGAATTGCTTTTCTATTTAATTAAGTTAAACACTTATTTGTGTAGATACATATGACTCAATTTAAACATAAAACTATTATTATTAATATATTATTATTTTGTATACAAAAGCTTTTTAACGGAGAAATCTAAAGTTATTAGCCTGTTGATCTATATAAAAAGAAAAAAGTCTAAACTTCTAAGAAGAAAGAAAATCTTTATCTACACCAGAAAGAGAATTGTCATGAGTTCCAAAGAATAGTTTATAGCAATAGAGTCCAAAAGCGGCAAGAAAACTCTTCTCACCGATAATTGGCTTCTCTATGCTACAGCAATTTGGGGGCGTTACTTTTACACAAAAATATTTCTCATACAAACGTCTCTGACTTCAAATAAACGACTCCGGTCTTGTGTCAGATTACACCCTCACACTCTAAAATTTTATAAAAAAGGTGAAATTTGTATACATTGCTGTTCTAAGTACTATTTGTAGGTCACATTCGAATAACATACATCCGTTTGGTTTATGTAAAATAATCGATGTATACATGGCCATGTTATACGGTGTTTACATGACGCTATTTTACAGGCAGTTTTTAGTTGAAAGCATCAATCGCCTGGTGTGAACGGCCTTTCTACTAAACGCTTCCCATGAATTTCCGGGGGGAGGGGGCAGCAGCCAACTTTTGATTCAACTGCTCGCCTCTCATCATGTGAACACCGTTTTAGCCGTGGGTTGGTGCCAGTAATAGTGCCATTCAGCGCTATCTTACGGTAACCTTGGCGAAAATATTTGCTTTTTGTTGCGCATGGTGAAGGCGGCTTGTTAGCACATTATAACTACTCACCGCTAGGTGGGGCAACTTTGAACTTCCGTTAAATTACTAATAAATAGGTGTCACCGTTATGCGGAAAAGCAACGAAAATGTTAAGTAAAAATTTAAAAAATACCGGGCAAATTTTTACCAGATTTTTTTAACGTATTTCCGGCATTACTAAAATAAAGTAGGTGTCGCCCTCACCGATATGCGCTAAAATAACTTCAATTTTTAACTAAAGCAGTGTTTGCATTGTTCAACTTTGCGTTCAACTCAACGCAGGGTTGCACGAAAAAAAAGTTGAGTGGCTAAATGTTGGCTGGCGACCAACTTTGTTGAAAGCGATTAGTTGAAAGGCCATTCAACCAAAAGTTGAATGCAAAGTTAAACAATGCAAACACCTTTTATTGCGAATATTTTGATATTTTTTCATATTTTGATATTTTTAGCCATTCAACTTTTTTTTCGTGCAACCCTGCGCTGAGTTGAACGCAAAGTTGAACAATGCTAACACACTTTAAGTTTTTATAAATACCGGCAACTTTAATTGCCAGTATTTTTTACCATATAAAATAATATAATAAATCTCCAGGTGATTTTTCGCTCAAATAAAGTTCTCCTCACTGGAAATACACCGTACATTTCATTGAAAAATTTTCAAATTTAGACTTTATGAGCATTTGAATTTTTTTACAATGGTCCGGAATTTATTTATTTTCTCTGAAAATACACATTAGAATGCGATGATTTTTTAAACATAGGAATATGACATACAACCCTACTAAAATTAATTTTTTTTGTCTTGAAAATTTTTAATAATAAAATTAATTTTTTTTAACAAATGAAAATTTAAAAAATTTCTCCGCCTGAAATAAAGTGACAATAATGATATGAGAAAGAAAAGAACAATTGAGATTAAGTTTATGAAAAGGTGGCAACTCTTCAAAATGGTTTTTGTTTTGTTTCGTTTTTAGAATTCTATTGTTTGACACCCACATCGTTGTAATATTTGATCATACTTAATAAATATGTACTTGATTTTAACTTTTGAAAAAGGTTGCCTATTCAAAAAACATCCCGTATGGTAATCTCACTCACTCACAACTTTCACATTTAGTATATTTAATACTAGTAGGACTAGCTTTACTTATCCTACTGCTGTTGTAAGCAAAAAAAAATAAAAAATTACCAAAAAGTAGGCTTTTGGTTGAGTCCAAGAACAGATTAAACAGTATACAGAAGACGCATGTCGACTATCGAAGCAATTTGAATTTATAGCACGAGCGGCGAGGCAAGCAGCGCTGCCTCTATTATAGTCTAAGAGCTAGCATCGTTTACGAGCAGGAATTTCAGGTCAGCTGATTTTTTGATATGACATCTCTCTCACTCCCTCGGTTAGCGTGGGGGCCATCTGGCAGGCGGTAATGGTTGCGTTGACTAGTGCGCACCGTATCTTTACAGTTAAAAATGCTAATTTTTTAAGTCATTTTAGTAAGGCAAATTTTCTTTTCATTGGCTTTAACTAACTTTTAGAAACATAGATTAATTATTGCCAGACATGTCCGTTTTTGCTAACATTGTGCCAGACGTCATTTTTTATTAAAAAAAAAATTAATTTTTCAACTCATTTTAGTAAAGCTCAAAATTTAATATGATGTTGTTTAAGTAATAATGAATCTAAAATTAATTTGCCAGACATTAATTCGGTTTCTAAAGCAAGATCCAGATCGATTTAAAGCTGAAAAGTATTACGCTGGTAGTGAGTGAGATAGTAGCAAAATAGTGAATTTTCATAGGATTTTAGTATGAAAACTGGAAACTATAACTACTTATTTAACATTATGACATAAATCTAATTATTGGAATATCAAAAATTATTTTTTTCTTTTCTAATACATACGTTAAGGGAAATAAAAACTGAAAACATTTCAAAAAACATCAACTTCTATAGTGTCGGAATAAAGCAAGAAAGGTAAGAGAAAAACACAAACATTTTTATATTTATAACATTATAATAACATTTTTATATTCATAACATTATCATAACATTTTTATATTTAAACACTGGTTTACAACAAAAGTGCGCAGCGGATGCCACTATCCAATTTAGTGTTTTTTCCATATATAAGTTTTCGATATATTTGCAATTTACCGTTATTCAGCTTAAAAAAAGTGGCTCCACTTAATCACGTATATCTTATACAAAATTTAGGAAACGAAACGTAGAAAAACTCCCCTTAAACAGTATATATGTATGTACATCTGTTTTCTATAAACTTAGTATTTTTTGAGAAATTTATTAATCATTCCAGTTTTTTATTTTTTTATAAAAAAATTAAAAAAAATTTTAATTTAACAGAGAACAATTTTAAGAAATAATAGATTTTTTAAATTTTTTCATTTGTATTAAAGCCTGTTTTTTTACAAAAAAGAAAACAAGTAGTAATTTGAAAAGAATAAAATCAGTGGATAAATAAAAACAAGTAAGAAAGTCTAAGTTCGGGCGGAGCCGAACATTAAATACCCGGCGCAGGTACTAAGTATATGATTTTCACCTTTCCGAAAGCTACCGCTACATGGTAAGCCGGTGTGTATCAATTTTGAGTAAATTAGCGTCCTTATATTTTGAAATATTGAAGTTTCAAGCATTTCTAAAATTTGCCGTTATATGAAAAGTGGTCGTAATTTTAATCTGATTCCAATAATTTTCAAAGTTTTGCTTCTATGTGGCAAGCACAATAATCATACCGAGTTTGGTCCAAATTGGTGGAACGGTTACCGAGATACATATATGTGATCATAAGTGGGCGGTGCCACGCCCATTTTCCAAAATTTTATCATAAACGTATTTCTTGGTAAAGAATTGTTGCAAGCATCAATTTTGAGTAAATTAGTTTCAATATTTATTGATTTATCGAAGATTTCGTATTTCTCCAAATTACCGTTATATGGGAGGTAGGCGTGGTTATTGTCCGATTTTGCCCATTTTCAATACCATCCGTCCTACGCCCGAAATAAGTGCACATACCAAGTTTCGTTAAGATATCTCAATTTTTACTCGAGTTATCGTGTGCACAGACGGACGGACAGACGGACGGACGGACGGACAGACAGTCACAGCTTAATCGATTTCTCTTTTCATTCTGGTCATTTATACATATACATTTGTCTATATCTATCTCGATTCGTTTTGCCTGTTACAAACAACCGTTATGTGAACAAAGTTATAATACCCTTGTGCACAAGCGCGCTCGGGTATAAAATGTATGAAATACATATGAGCAGTAAAGAATGTTACTCATACGCCATGTACGATTATGTACATACAATTTCATATGACCTTTCCCATCTTTTTTATTCACATATCTATCGACTTTCTTTGTAAGCAGCATGCTTTTTTTGTAAAGGAACAGGCTTTAATACAAATGAAAAAAATAAAAAAAAAATATTGAAGTTTTTCCCTCTTAAAATTGGATTTTCTTTTTCATAAAAAATAAAAAATCTTGAATAATTAATAAATTTCTCAAAAAATACTAAGTTTATAGAAAACTGATGTACATACGTACATATACATATACTGTTTATGGGGAGCTTTTCTACGTTTCATTAGCTACATTTCGTATATGATAGACGTGATTAAGTGGAACCATTTTTTTTAAGCTGAATGGTAAATTGCAAATATCTCGAAAACTTATATATGGAAAAAATACAAAATTTCGGAATCGGCAAGGAATTGGATAGTGGCATCCGCTGCGCATTTTTGTTGTAAACCAGTGTTTAAATACTTATAAAAATGTTATGATAATGTTATAAATATAAAAATGTTTGTTTTTTTCTCTTGCTTTTCTTGCTTTATTCCTTGACGTATGTATTTGAAAAAAAAAAAATAATTTTTGATATTCCAATAATTAGATTTGTATTATAACGTTAGATAAGTAGATATAGTTTTCAGTTTTCATACTAAAATCCTATGAAAATTCACTATTTTGCTACTATCCTCTTCACTACCAGCGTAATACTTTTCAGCTTTAAATCGATCTGGATCTTGCTTTAGCAACCGAATTAATGTCTGGCAAATTAATTTTAGATTCATTATTACTTAAACAACATCATATTAAATTTTGAGCTTTACTAAAATGAGTTGAAAAATTAATTTTTTTTTAATAAAA